GCGACTGGCGTGCTTAGTAAAGGACAGTGAAGGAATCCTCCAGCAGGGCCACGTCCCACGGGCTGGGACACCATTTCCTCTGTGGCCCAAGCCACGTGGGCCAGCTCCTGCAACAGAGGGCTTCTGACTCTCACTCTCTCTCTCTCTCTCTCTCTTTCAGCTTCCACGTGGGCCAGCTCCTGCAACAGAGGGCTTCTGACTCTCACTCTCTCTCTCTCTCTCTCTCTCTCTTTCAGCTTTTTTTTTTCCCACTTTTTGTCATGGGGATTGAACTCAGGGCATTTACACTGAGATACATCCCCAGCCCCTTTTCTATTTTTTATTTTTTTATTTTTAGTCAAGGTCTTGTTAGATGCTAAGTTGACCAGGCTGGGTTTCAATTTGTAATCCTCCTGCCTCAGCCTCCCAGAGTATAGGGATTACAAGAGTGCACTATCATGTTTGGCTTTTTATTTCACTTGAGCTAAAGCCCCTCTGTTCTTTCCTAATAAGTTGTTAGAATTTATTAGGTCATTTTTTTCCCCTTGAACTTCAGCATATTCATCTGTAAAACAGTAAGCTTGGATTTTGTCCATTAAAATTTTTAAAGATTACAAAAGGGAGGATTGGATTGGTTGATCTCTGAAATCCCTTCTAGCTCTAGAATTCTATGGTTATGGGGGGAGAATCTATTACATTATTTCCCTCCTCCTACCAAGTGCTCTTCTGGAGCTGATCAGAAGCTCAGCAGATGTTCAGAAAGGGGTGAACATGTGGAGCAGCGTTACTGGGCTCCCAAGTTTGTCCCTTGGCAGGAACAAAATGATAATTTTATTGTGTGAAGCAGATTCCCTAAGAGTTTGGGATCTGCCCCTGGGGGGCAGAGCGAAGAGAAAGTAGGGGAGAGTCTGCTGGAGTCACCGGGGTTCCGCAGGTCCAGGCAGCACTGAGCAGTCCCAGAATAGTTCTAGAAAAGGCCTAAGGCTTGGAGAGGTACAAGCCAGGGGGCCCCCTGCAATTCAGGCTGCGCAGGGGAGTCTGGGAAGGACTGGCTAAAATGTTCCAAGGAGGAAGGCCGTGACATGATAACATGTGACCAAGCAAGGTGCAGTGCGTTCCAGCTCTACCCCTCCACCCTGGCTCACCTCACCTGGCCAGTCAACCGCTCTAATGTGATCTTTGTCGCCTGCACAAAGCATGGGGTTTCGTGAGCCTGGTTCACCTCGTGGCTAAATGCCGCCCAGGTCCCCCACCAAGCTTAGACTACTTATTAAATTACACAGGAAAAAATAGAGATGGAATACTCATTCCATATCCCCTTCCCCTCTGCCTGGGGAACTTGCCTTCCTGGGTTTCACTTTTCAAAGGCTGAAATAGATATGGAGATTTTGCGCTTAATTAAAGGAGACAGACGCTCACTTCAAGTCTCCAGAACATCTTGGCTCTGTGCTAGTTCCCCGCCCCCCGGCATAAAAGGTGTCAACCTGGAGTCTCCTGGTTGGCTGGCTCTAGACATCAGCCCAGAAGCAGAGAGAATGAATTTCGGAGGCGCCCCTCTGGCCTGAAAGCTGAGGACCTGCGTGTTGGCTTGATGGCCTGATGAGAGGTCACCTATGGCGCTGAACGCCAGGTGCCATTGCGCAGGAGATTATCTTATCAGCCGGGCTGAGGAAACTCCTGAAGTTCTGGCCCTGAGGAGCAAATATTTATAAGCCCGACACCTTTGAGTCCATCGCAGAATAGGCACCGAATGGGAGCAGGGGCAGAGGAGCAAGTTAGCAATCCACACTCGGCGCTGGAGCCCGCCACTGTCGGACGCACCTGGGAGAGCACACGTTTGTGGGTTGAACTGTTCAGGGCACGCGTTCACATCCCGAGAGACCTCCCCACAGCCAGGGAAGGACAGAACTATTTTTCCCATTTCACAGTGGGGGAGACAGAGGGTCAGAGAGACCTGCTCGCTGGCTCAGCTGGGACGTGGCCCTTGAACTCAGGGTTCCAGACACCAGAGCCGGGGTGGCCCCCACCTGGCTGCTCTTTCCAGTGAGCAGCAGCTCCGGTGGGGTCCCCAGCTTCACCCAGGTCCCTCCAGTTCTCAAGGCCCTCTGAGTCCTTCTCTCTGGGCACCGGAGACAAGCAGTATCTTATGGAGAGATGCAAGGGACGGTGGCCCCTGCAGGTGGAGGGAACCCGGTTCTCTCCTCTGCCAGTGAGAGTTGGCGCTAACTGAGTGCACAGACCTTTCAGGCAGAGCCTCCTGGGATGGAGCCCCTGGAGCCCTCCTCTTCCGGTCCTCAGCACGGAGAGGGCAAGCATCCTGCAAGGAGCTGCTTCTGCCCCGAAGACCGGCAGTGAGCAGCTGGATCTGGAAGCAGCAGGTGCAGGGCTGGAGGTGAGCAGCTGCCGTAGTCCAGCAAGGCCTGACTGAAGCAGAGGCTGCAAGAGGACAAGACAGGCTCGGCTGTGACAGGAGCCAGATTCCCAAAGCCCGTGAGGTGGTGTCAAGGAGCTCAGGCTCTCTCCTAAGCGCAACAGGAGCCGGAAAGGAGTTGAGCGAGGGAGTGGCAGCACAGTGTTTGTGGTTAAGCCCTGCACACAGGGGAAGAGAAGCAGGGAGAACAGAGGGAGGAGAAAGTGGCAGGAGAGAGCCCAGGTCAGTTTACTCCTGGGCCCCATCCCGCCCCCTGACCCAGGCTGGCCTGGCTGAGACCCTACTTTCACAAGACTCATGACAGTGGCAGTGTAGGGTGCTATGCCTGCCTGTTCGGGTGAAGCCTCAGAAGGACCCCTGTGTGGCAGAAACTCTTGCCATCCTGTTTTACAGGTGGGAAGCCAGGGGTCTCACCCTGGGCCACAAAGCAGGACCCATTTCACCACCGCTGTGCTGGCCCTGGAGATGACCACCGCTGTACACAGTCTGTGCTCTTCCATGGCCCAGGGAGACCCATGGTGTCCCACAGCAGAAGAGAGTGGGAGCAGTCATAGTGGACCCCCCATATTGGGCTTAGATCCCCTGGGAACAAGCTGCTGGCTGTCTGGGGAGGGCCGAGGCCTTTGGGAGTGTGGGCTCCCAGGGTTCTGCTTACCTTTGCCTGATGGGGCGGACCTAGGTCTGGGGTGTGTGTTGTCATAGTGACCGGCTCCTGTCCTCCTGTCCTCTTGTCCTCTCTTCTGCTGAGGGGCTTTTCAGAAGTCTTGGGGTCCAAGAACCATCCCCAGTCCCAGTCCTCACAGGCAGGGAAAAATTCATTATCTTCTCCACACTGTCTTCTTCTAAAGGGGAAGCAGGGCACCCAGTCTGGGGCAGGAAGGGCTGGAGGTCACCCCAAGGTGGCAGGTGGGGGCGCAATGCTCCTTGAAGAGTGGAGTGCAGCTCAGAGACTCATCCTGGAGACCCTCAGATGGAGCAGTGACATTCACCAACTCCTAGACAGTGACAAGAAGCAGAGAAGCTATTTTGCTGAGATCTGAGGTGCTGGCTTCTGGCCTGGGCACTGACATGGAGAGTTTAAAATGGGGAGCTTTGAACAGCCTCTCCCCAATCCCTGCCCCTCAGCTTCCCCACTGGACAAAACGAGCTGTAAGTCCCCCTTTCTAGCCTTGTGATCTTTGTAGCCTTCTCAGGGCCTCTCTGGGCCAGGCCTGGCTGAAGCAAGCGAAGCCCACCTGGTGCCCAGCCTGCAGCCTGCCCTGCCCCGCCCCCACCTCACTCCAAAGGCCCTGAGCTCATCTGGGTTCACTCTGTCACTTGGAAGATAGGGCTGGCTCACACCTGCAAGCAGGGCACACTGATTAATTTATTTTGCATCGTTTTGCGTTACCTGGCTCCAGGGCCTCCAGCTTGACATGCAGATTTATGTAAAAGAGGCCCAACATGCAAATGAGCCAGGCCCGCCACTTGCCACTTGTTTTAGTAACTGGCAGGGCTGCATCTCTGGTTCCTCCACCCAGCTGTTCTTCCTAGGGCCCACGGGTGGGGTTCTCACGGGCTTAGGCGGGTGAGGAAGAGCCCAGGGCCTGGGGCCTGGGGCCTTACTCTTCCATCCCTTCCTTGCTCTGAGCAGAGCCCAAGGAGGCAAACAACAATGGGTTTAGAAAAAAGAGAAGAGCAGTATCTCTTATCCAAAGAGTGCCTGGCTGTGCTGCCCACTGAGACACCGAGAGGAACAGAGGGACGGGGAGACACCCTCAGCAAGCAGAGAGGAAGGCCGGGCCTGCGAGGGGCTGGCACAGGCAGTGGGGCAGGGAGAGGGGAAAAGCTGCCAGAGCATCAAAGGCAAAGCCAGGCAGAGATCAAGAGACGAGGGCCCAGAAAGAGAGATGGGGACATTTGAGGGGGCTGCTGGTGGAGGGGTGGAGGCCGAGAAAGGAACAGATTTCTAAGCTGCTGCGGAGGAAGAAGTGAAGATATAGCAACAGCCTGGCTGTGGGGAGGAGTTGGTGACGATGACAGCTTGACGCTGGGGAGTTGGGAAGGAGTCACCAGCGGAAGTGACAGGTGAGGGAGCTGCCTGGAGAGACACCCGAGCTCCTCCTCGGGAGCACTGGCCGGGCTTGGCCGCTGCCAGGCAGGGAGCGATGTTGGGCACCTGGTGAAGCTTTGGTGCTAAACTGTCTCTCTGTCTGTACGCACAGATCTGCACACATGGATGTGCAGCAAGCATGTCCTTTCCAGAGCACAGGAGTCTGTCCCTACCTCTGAGGGCCCAGCGGACAGCACACCCCAAACGCCATGCCTCTTTCTGCCCCTTAGGAGCAAAGGCTCAGCTGGGCCCAGGACCAGGCACGCAGGGCCCCTTCTCCTTCTGCAGCTCTTTCACAGGGAAACTGACTTCCTACGAGGAGGGAGCCCAGTGCAGGGCCTGACTGTGTGGTCTTGGAGCATGGAGCCTGGGAAGGCTCCCTGTGGCTTTCAGATAATCACCACTTCCCCCTATAGGAGCTCCATCCAGAGGGTAAGACAGGCCTTTTTTTTCTCTTTTTTGCTTTGGGTTTTTTGTTTTTTTTTCAGTACTGGGGGTCAGACCCAGGGTCTTCATGCTGAGTTACATCCCCAGTGCATTTAAAAAAATTATTTTTATGTTGAGAAGGTCTCGCTGAGTTATTCAGGATGGGCAGTAACCTGCAATCTTCCTGCCTCAGCCTCCCAGAGTGCTGGGCTTACAGGTATGCACCCCATACCTGACTGACAAGCCTCTCGGGGCTCCTCAGAGACCCTCCAGCCCAAATTCATCCTTTTACAGGAGAGGGAACAGTGACCCAGAAGGGTGGCAGAGCTTGGGTAGCACAGGGAGAGGCCAGCAGGCTCTTTACTAGGCTGCCTGCTTTCCTCCATGTCCTGCCTTCCTTGACATCTTGGCATCCACAACCTTCCCATTTTGGTTTCTGTGATTCCCCTGAGCTGCCTGCATTGGTATTGGGCCTCTTGAAGAGTGGGTGCTGCTTTTACTCTGCAACAGATGAATTTGTATGTGCTATGAAAGTTGAAGGCCCAGACTTTCAAGTGCAAATCTGGTGGCTGCCCCAGGAAGACCTAGGGCTCTGCTGGGATCACCTTTGCCCTCTCACCTGTGGTAACTGCCTGTGCACCCTACAGAAAGCCCGCAAGCAGCATGGGCCGGAAGAAGGTGTGGCCCATCAGTACCGGGATTGCACCAGCTTGAGGTGTGGTCTCTAGGGACGGAGCCCACTTAGAACACTGCCCACCATACACACCTAGAAGGGTAGGCCAGACCTGCAGGGTCAGGTTACTGCCTGAGCCTGGGACAGTCTCCCTTTTCCAGCTTCCCGGTCACCTTGCATTAGCTTCTAGCCTGGTATTTTTCACCCTCGTAGTGTGAGATCCTGTGAGGCCCCAGTGGAGACCGCGGAGGCAGTTCTGTAGTAATGCCCATATCCACCACATTTTACACACAGCATGGAGAGATTCGTGGGTTCCCTGAATCCCCTGGCTCACGATAGACTCTAAATCCTTCTGGCATTTTGGAAGTCAGATCTGAGCTATCCCTACCCGCTAGCTACATCTCAAGGAAAGCTCACACGCTACCTAGTCCCAAATGCCTCGGAAAGGCTGCGTCCCCCTCCCCAGTGCCCACCTCCCACTCTGCCCCTGAACTTGACCCCATTTTGCCTTATCTCAAGTCCAGGCTCTTCTGGGTGCCAGCTCTGAAGTTGGCACTGGCTGACGTGCGAGGAGAGAGACTGTGAGTACCGACAGCTGCTAAGTGCTGTCCCTCATCAGCTCGGGAGGCCACAGATTGCCACATTCTTCACAGAGGGCGTCTGAGGGCCGGAGTGGGTGGAAGGAGCAGAGAGGCCAGCGGAGAAGCAGGACGGGATGGGGGTCAGCCAGACTGAGGACCCTCTGCCAATCCAAGACCCTGTCCCAACCCCCTCCAAGGAAGGGTGATAGAGGAAATTGTGGCCTCCTGGCCGGGGCCTGGCAGGAGATGCTGTCAGCCTCTGCGTGGAGGGGAAGGGACGGGAGGGCTGAACTCTGGGGGGACCAGGGCAGGGTAGAGCATGGGAAGCCCGAGTAGAAGGATTGGGACTCAGGGTGGGCCGGGACTCTGAGGAGTGAGAGCAGCCTGCTGGCCCGAGAGGGGCCGAGGCCGCCCAGGGGTGGCCCAAGCCTCCGAAGTGCCTTTGGCTGAAGAAAGCTGCTTAATCTCCCCCTGGAAATCAGGAAGTTGGAACCCGCACAGCTGATTACAGAGCCAGAGGAGCTATTTCGGAGGAAAGATGAAAAGAATTAAAGTCAGCTCAGAAGGGAGCCGATGAGAGGGAGCCGGAGGCAGGTGGGGAACTGAGGGGTTGTCTGCACCCCAGCCCAGCCGGGGGTGCCCCTGGGAGGTGAGGGAAATCTGGCTGAGGTGGAGTGAGGGTCAGGCCTGTCATCTGAGGGATTGTGTGGGGGCAAGAAAGAAGGCCTTGGGGTCCGAAGATCCCGGGAGATGTCCAACAGGAGAGAGCAAGAGGCCAGGGAGAGGGCCTGGGCCCCATCACAAGTTGGGGCAGAAGCACTCTTGGGGGGCTTGGTCCTCTCCACTCTCCTTCTTCCCTAGGCCTAGCACTGCAGCCTTAGACCTTCTGGCTAAGCAGGATGGAGGGCAAGAGACGCATATGGTGGGCAGAATGTGTCTGTGAGGCCATGCTGGGGCTGAGGGACAGGGACAGAGGCTCTTGTCCCAGGAGACCGAAGTGGAAAGATAAGGACAGCCTTGTCCTGCTCCATGTCTAGATGGGAGAGCTGGGGCTGAGGACAGCTGGGACTCAGGCAGAGAGGATGGTGATCACCCTGCATGTGTGCTGGACACACACATATGGGTGCGCACGCGCAGACACACACGCACACACACACTCGCTAAGCCATGCTTGCTTGCTCTCATATTCTCTCCTTCCCTCCCTCCCTCTCCCTCTCTCTCACACACACACTTAAACATACATTTAAATAACTTGCAGACGTATATTAGCAAAAACATTCCATCTGGGCTGGGATTTCTCTCATTGCTTTGAATTCCCCGGGGTCTTAACTTGAAAAAAAAGTAGGAAGAGGCAAAGATTTGACTAATGTTGGGTTAAGGTTTTTTTCTTACTCCTTTCTTGCTTGGTTACTGACTGCCAAGAATTTATGTTTGTAAAAGGAAAAGAATTAACTGTGTTGATTAAGAGGCAAGCTCCCTGGAAATGTTCTCTCTTAACCCTTTGCTACCCTCTCAGCAAGAGATACTGGGGTTCTTGAGTGTGGGGCTGGATGTCCCTGGGCGGGAGGCCCAGAACCTCCCAAGGGGGTACTTCTTCCCAAAAGAAAAGGGGCCAAGGCAAGCTGTGCCTTCCTGATGTACAAATAAGTGTGTGTGTGTGTGTGTGTCTGTGTCTGAGCAGATGCGTGGGGAAGTAGTGTGAGCAGGGTCTGTGTGTGCGTGGGTACTGTGCTAGGGTGTAGGAGAGGCAGGCGCGTGTGTGTGTGCATGGGTGTGGCGGCTGCACACATGGGTGCTTCAGCATATGTGGGGCATACTGAGACTCTCTCGTGGTTTGCTGGTTGCACAGTGAAACTCCAGGAAGGCGAGGGATCTTCACCTTGACCAAGTTAGCAGGAGCAGATTTGGCAGGAGCAGGGGCCTGAGGGGACTTAGCACAAAGCAGGTGAGCAGAGGAGCGGAGGGTGGGAGGCTTTGGCCTAGTTAGCAGGAGCTCTCCTGGTCCCTACCAGCTGCCACACTAGTTGGAAGGAACCTAAGGCTAATCCTGGACATCAGTCAGAATCCTTGTGTGGGGCGTGGGCTGGACAGTTTCTGCCTCTTGCCTGTCCAGCCTAAATGCCTACCCTGGGTCTTCCTTCCTGTTTCCTTCTACAGCCTCCCTGTCCCTTAGGAGGAGTGTGGCTCCCAGGCTAGGCCAGGCTTTAGCATCATGGGGGAGACAGGAATCCACTGGGAGATGGCGACTATGGAGCCAGAGTTGGGAGAAAGAGAAGAAGAGTCGCTGGAGGTGGAGTTTCTTGCCTGTGCATCCAGCCATACCGAGCTGTACGTAGTTCCTGAGCCCTGTACCTGGCCGCTCTGCTCCCAGGCTTTGCACTGCTGAGTCCTTCCTTTGGTCACTCCCTAATTCCTACCTAACCTTCAAGTCTTAGATGTCACTGCCTCCAGGGAGTCTCTCACCCCCTCAGCATTTGCTCTTCCTCTACAAGGACCGCATTGGGCCACAGGGCCACCTGGTGTACTCCTTAGGTCCTGTCTGTCACCCGCTCTGGTCCCTGCCTGCCTTGAGGATGAAGCCTCTGTCTTCATCCTGAACCCCAGTGCCCAGGACAGTGTGTGGCATGCTGCACAGGCTGTTGACTGCTGAAAGCAGCATGCGTCACTGCACGTGTTGTGATCGAAAATCCCTTGTACACACGCTCCCACAGTGACACCACAGGACCCTGAGATTAACTACACATGTATTTAATCTTCTCGGGATTCAGTCTTAGTCATTCCCAGGGCCTAGAACAGCCTCAGACAAGATCAATGTCCAACAAATGTGGAAGGAAGGAAGGAAGAACCAACACAAGATGAAGGCTCAACAGCACACCCGGAGAAAGCTCACTGTGGCCGTGGCAGGTGTTGAGAGTCAGACTGCAGACAGGAGATCGAGCCAGGGGCGCAAGTTGAGAGCAGGAAGAGAAAGCTATAGAGGGCCTCCTGTATATCCGCACTGCCCCAGGTATCTTGGGTTCATTATTCCACTCTCTCCTCATCCGTATCCTGTGAGGAAGAGGTCATTACCTCATTTCACATTCAAGGAAGCTGAGGTCGAGAGCGGCTAAGTAACTTTCCCAAGCTCACCCAGTTGGCACAGGGTAAGCTAGGATTCTAAACCCAAGTCTTTCTGACCCTAGAGCTTGTCTCCCACTCTATGGTGCTTCATGAAGAATGGGAGTTTTGAGCAGAATTTTGAAAAACAGAAGTCTCGTCTTTGGGAAGAAGGATCTCAAGCCCAGGTCAGGTGGGGGGTTTCTGGGAAGGTTGGGTGCTGGCTCTGTGCTTCCCTGAGCTTCTGTAAGCTTCTTTGTGACCCAGAAGCCAGGAGAAAATGAACAGAGCAAGGGCCGATGCAGTGGAGGAGGGCAGCAGTGGAGCAGAGAGCGGTTAAGGTCGGCCTCTCAAACAGAGCTCTGCAGCCTCCTCTTGGCAGAGGGTGGGACTTTCCAAAGGGGCGATGAAGACACAACACTTGCTGAGTGGCAAGTGCTGAACCACCCACTTGTTAATACATTTAGCCATTATTGTAGCTCTTGGTGGTACTGGGGATTGAGCCCAGGGCCTTTGTATTGAGCTACGTCCCAGCCCTTTTTAAAATTTTTAGCTTTGAGACAAGGTTTCTGCTATGATTTGAATCTTGAATGCTCCCCCAAAGGCTCGTGTGTTGAGGTTGGGCTTTCAAAAGGTGATTGGATCATGAGGCATTAGGCTTATCAGTGGCCCCAACACAGAGGTCGACAGGAGTCTGCCCACCAAGCTATCCTGGGAGTATGGTTAGGGTCTGGTTGAAGGAATAAGAGGGGTCGAGTGAAAGGAAAGACTTACACCCCACACTTATAAGTTAGAAAATCATTTGGGGCAGGGAACCCTTAAAAGCAGAGGGATGGGGGTAGGAGCAATCTCTGATGGTCTGAACCTTGGTGTGTGGAGAAATTGACCTTGCCTCAGTGGCCTTGGGATACACCATTCCACCAATCCTATCCTCATCCCTCAAAGAAGGTATGGCCCTCCGAGGGAAGTGCCATAAGGCTATGACCATGGCGGGTGTTCCTAGCTATTTCTCTGGATAGCTCTGTTTCCTCTTCCACCCAGCTGCTGAGCAGGAGAGCCAAGCCAGAGTCCACAAGCAGGACCCTCCCCCTGGCCTGCCGTTTGTTCGTGCTGGATGCCTGCTGCCCTGGGACTGGGTGGGCCCTGGTGGGTGGTCCCACTCTGTGGCCTATCTCTTTCTCCCTTCAGAGCAGGCCTCCCAAACAAAGGAGCTTGGAGCCCTTGGTAGCTTGGCCCTCATTTCATTTTAATTAGTGACTACCTGCTCCCATCCCTGCGCCTTTGGTAGTCTTGGTGGGCCAATGTCACAGTCACGGGCTAGTCTCCTGTCCCTGTTCAAAACGTCCAGAGACACTTGGAAAGAGTTCAACAGCCAAGCTATGGGATGATGGAAGATGGTGACTCCCACAATGGTCCTGGTCTTCCCATTTGTGTTGGGGGAGAGGAGGAATTTTGTATCAGAACACTAGGAGGTACATCAAAGCCAAATTCAAGAGACACTTGCCCAGAATGAGAGCTTTGGTTCTGGCTTCCTGGGATCTCCTACATCTTCTCTCATGGCCACAACAGAGCAGACTCCAGCCACCACTGCCACCACCCCACCTTATGGTTAGTTGCCAAGCAGCCTCATGATCTTAGACCAAGTGTCTTACTTTCTGTTCTGTCACTAAGACACAGTGCCTGGCACCTGAAAATTCAAGGGAGCAAACGTTATTTTGGCTCCTAGTTACAGTCCACGGTGAGCTGACACCAAGGAAAGACCCCGTGGCAGAGGGGCATAGCGGAGGACAAGCTGCTTGCATCATGGCGGTAGGGAAGCAGAGAAGAATGGACCAAGCTGGGGAGGGAGATGAACCCTTCCAAGCCACGCTCCCAGTGACCCACCTCTTCTGACCAGACCCCACCTCCTAACAGCAAGCCAGCTCGAAGCCCCTAGAACCCTGTCACCTTTCAAAAGTCCCACCTTTGAGGCCCCATGGGGCTCTTGGGGACACCCAGATGTAAACCATAACACCATGGTTCCTGCTCGCATCAGCCCCATGAGGCAGGCACCTCAGAGATGATTGGCCCCTTGTAGAGATGAGGAAATGAGAAACTTGTGTCTTTTTCAAGACACATGGTTGCTGAGTGACGTCGGCTGCACCGTTGGGCTTGTAGGCAGCAGGACCAGAAGGTACTCCAGGATGAGGAGAAGCAGGCCTTGGGTGACACAGTCAGGAGTTCACAGCAATCGGAGGGATGAGTGGTCCCAGTTGCTCTGCACCCAGAAAGTCCCTCCCTGAGTCACTGCGCCTATTGCTGCCTGAAACCCAGCACCTTCCCCAGGGAGCTCCGTGAATCATCTCCTTTCTGCTCTCTCTCAGGTGCTCCCGGCCAGGCCCTCTTGGCTCTCGTAGGATCTGACTCAGGTAGGCGGTATGAGCAGAGGCTTCTGGGGTGGGGCCGACACTAAACAAGAGGAGGTGTTTGGGAATTTTTTTTTTTTTTT